TACTTGAAATCACTACATTGAAAAAAGTAGTTGTAGCTGTGGTTAACTACATTTGTAACAAAGTAGGTGCAGTTGTAGTAAACTACAAAAATAAGGCAATTTTTCCAACCACTGGCTTGTTGTAAACAGCTTTATAAAAGAGCAAGCTAAAGGCTTATTAAAACAAATTCAAATTAAAAGGAACAAAATAAGCTTCATTGAAATGAGCTTTGTACTAATCCTGCGCAAGAAATGAACACTTGATAGCATTTGATAATAATTGACTCACTAATAAAAACTGGTATTATAATATTTGTTTAGAAAACTATATTTGAGATAAAAACAATAAACATTTTCACTATAAACTTCGGGTAAATTGAGTTGTTTAAGTAATAGACCTAAAAGTACCTGAGGATGAGGTTGCAAAAAGTTTAAGAAATATAAGATTAATCTAAGGTGACTAGACGTTCTCGAATTTTAAGAACAGTCCTCGCATTCCTCCCCTCCCCCCAATAGCTGTCCCCCAAAACTTTAAAACTATTTGCGGACAGAAAATGTTCTTAAATCTTAATATATGTTCTCAAACTTCATCGAATTGTCCAAAAACAACTTTTTTGTTTTTTATATGTAGAAAATATCAACAAAAAAGAAGGAAAAGAAAAAAAGAAAATCAGAAATGCTCATGTTTTGTTAAACAAGATAATTTTGTCTTACGGAGAATACCATCGAAAAGCAAAAAACGTATCCCGCTAAAATATGGAAACTCCATACTCGTCTGAAAATAGTTTCAGCTAAAAATAAAGCAATAATCCTGAACTTTTTCATTTTGTATGAGTTAAATTTATGCAGAATGTCATATGAAATATCAAAACTGCTTAGTAATGACTTCTAGCTTGATAAAGATTGCTCTACATCTGATATTAGTTATTAATTTTTTTTTTAAAAAAAAGAAAGCTTTGTTGCACATATAAATTAATATTTTCCTTAAATATACGTGTGTACTCAAATCGTTAAATTTTTTGGGGACGCTCTGTTGTTTTGTCCTCAAATCATTTTTTTGTTGTTGAAATCTAATCATCCAGAAAATACTGGATGTATTTCCAATAAACAAGACGCATTTCAAAACACTTCAAAGAGCTAAATTTTCCAATACAATATTATTTATCATTTTAAAATAATGATTCTTTACTAATGTGAATGCTATCCAAGCTAAATTAAAAATAGTTATTACACTTAAACACAAAGGTAATATACCCTAAGGGAATTATTACAGTTAATGGAGTAAGTAATACGCATCTGTTACTAAAATAAGCCCATAAAATACCAACTGCTGAAAAGCGGCCTGTGCCAAGAAGATACCTTACCTATATATAATTTTGATTTATACAGAGCAATGCGTGTTTGAGTGTTTTATTTTTATTTGGGTCGGTGCTTAGGTCAACACACATTTCAAAATCTTTTATCTCGAGGAATGTACCATTCTGTATGGGGACAAAAGGAGTGCAAAAGGGGAAGTCTCACTTATCATCATTTTAATTTACAACCGAGCAAGGTATGACAGAAAAAAAATTTACGATTTCCAGTTACGTTAGTGAACAGTAAAAACAAAGAGAAAGGAAAAGCGAAAAAAAAAAATGATAATAGCCTTTAACAGATAAATGGATTCTTTGTCAGATGGAGTTCTCTTTATTAAGCAGATCGGGTATCCGTGCGTTTGTAAAATCGTCTGCGTAATTACCATTAAAATTACGTTAATTCAATAACGATGACAGGGGAAAATAAATATCTCCATAGGCTGAGTCGTAAATTTCGTTGCATTACTTTAAAGACTCCGTCAGTATTTAAATTAGGTTCGATATCAGCGACACTGAAAAAACGACGTTATATTTTTTATCTTCTTGAATTCGTTTAACTGATTGATACTTTCATTGGTTATCTCCTGGTAAAACTGGTTTAAATAATGACAAATTGCTAACCACGATTGAATGAAGATGACAAATTTTATAGTTAGTGAAGTTTCGAATTATAATCGATTCTTAAAGTGAATCATTCTTTTTAAAGTGCCTCCCAAAGTATCTCAAAATTATTTTAGAGCAAAACAACTTATCTTCGTATTCCCCCCCCCCACCTAGCTTCATTGCGGGCTTAATAGGCCATAACTTTGAATAGGTTTCAATGGGCTATAACTTTAGTAGGTCAAAATAGGGCATAACTAACGACTCCACAATTGTGAAGTATATCTCTGTTTGCAATGATAAAGCAAATAACAATATGGAAATGAGAGTTGTAATACGGATTCTAAAACTTAAAAGTATTTAATTCGAATCAATTATCGTCTATGAAACATTGAACTTTATAACGTTGCATGTAGAAGACAAAGTCAAAAGTGAACGTAAAGATAAAACAACTCATAAAAAATTATTTAGTCAGAAAACATTTTGCTAGATAATATTACAAGCACACATGCTTAAAATTTTACTTGTCATTTTGTTTCATAGGTTTAGGGACCTTTATACAGGGAGGGGGAACGTTTGACTTAAAAAAATTCACACTATTGATATCTCTTTAATAATAACTAAATAATAAACCATAGAACGTTTAATTGCTATTCCATCTTCATTAATTTTAGTAAGGTTCCAAATATTTATAACTCTATTCCAAATAACGTTGCGCAATAACTATAAGAAGCAACTAGTAATGGAAAATGATCTCCAACGATTGCAAAGATGCACAATAGAAGTAATTTTGCCAATTTAGTAATTTGTTACATAATCGTAAAACTTTCGCCTTGAAATTAGAAATTTTAGAGCGAAGTTTACCTGGAGCATCATTTTTCGAATTTCGTTAAGAGCTTTGCACTATTTCTAGGTACATAATAGTGCACTAGCATAATTTAAAAAAGAAAAACTAATACTGCTATCGTAGACAAGAAGGCAAGTTTCTACAGTTTTCGCCATTTTGAGTTTTCCTCTTTATAAGGTTCCTTATAATAATAATAATAATATATTATTATTATTATTAATTCTTATAATTCTTATTTTTATTAATAATAATAATATATTATCTATATTATATAAAACGCTAATACGTACGTATGTATGTATCAATAAAACCGATGATATTTTTTTTCTCGCGCTGGCAACAGTTTTCATTTTTAATTGATTGGATTCGGCGCGCAAGAGCACGTAGTGAGCAACCAGATAACAATAACCAGAGTGAGCATTATCAGGTTGTTCAATTCAGATTCATGCACTAAAAACATGACAATATTTAATTTAAACTCAATTAGG